AAAATGTATGTACATGTATAGGAGGAGAAATTTAGAGATATTATGATTATTACACACACACACACACACACACACACACACAAATTCCAAATTATGAAATCAAGCCCATTTCTCAAAAAGATTTACCGACGATCACCGAATAGGTTGAGCCGAGCCCCTCCTATATAATGCCTACTTATTGAAGTGAACATATTGCTTCCAATCATCCAGACATGACGATCCAACCGAAAATAGTGTCCAATCGTCAATAAATGTATTTAATAATTTTCTATGTAAAATCCACCATCCGAGGCAAAGGACGCCCATCACATCACTATTGACCTAATTTTTTTGTGAGGACATACCTTACCCTTTTGCTTCTAATCTTGCATCAGATCTATGACTTGTGGGATTTCACTTGGGCAAGCCCAAACCCTCTGACTTTATGGTTGGGATGATTTAGGGTTTTCACTAAGTCTGTAACTTACTTTGACCACAATGGACTCGGCATTTCTTGGGTGACCTAAATCATTCTAAAACACTAGAGGTCTCCCACAAACTCTATAGGTTAAAATGATGACCAAATCCATTCTGGAAAAGAGTCCATGCAAATTGATTCCTCAACCTAGCCAAGGGTTCGTATAACCTTGCCAAACCCAAACCTTGAGAACAAAATTTTAATTTGTCTCTTTTTAACCCAAAATGGGATAGAACTTTAGGGTGGTCAAATCAGATGAAACTTAACCTTATCTGAACCTGGATGAGACCATATGATCAACTTGATCACCCTGGTCAACTCTTTGGTCAACATGGTCAAAATTGGACCATATGACCAACTCAATTGACCATATGGCCAACCCAATCACCATATGGTCAACACATCACCATATGAAACTCAAGTCAACCAAAACTTTAAGTTCAACCTAAATTGAACCTAAGTTAAGTTCAACATAAATTGATCTTAAGTCAAATCCTAAGTTCAACTTACCTAAGCTTATCAATTAAATCATCGGGTCGACCTAACCTAACTCGAGTTAACCCAAATAAACTAAATCATAGGGCCCACCATATATAACTCGGGTTAACCCAACTCAACTGAATCATTGGGCCCACCATATATAACTCGGGTTAGCCCAACTCAACTGAATCATTGGGCCCACCGGATCTAACTCGGGTTAAACCAACTCAACTAAATCATCAAGTCAACCTGACTTAATTTTGGTTAATTTGGGTTAACCTGACTTAATTTGGTATTTTGGTGATGTTATGATGGTATTGCTCAATTTTGTTGTTTGAAAAAACCTTTGTTATGTCAGCTTTCCTCCAATATTGTTCATTCTCTTACTATGTAATTCTCTTACAATGTCATGAACCTAGGAATATTGAACTACAGACACAAGCCTTCTTATGTTAGAGCTATCAGTGATCCTCCAATATTGTTCATTCTCTTACTATGTAATTCTTTTACAATGTCATGAACCTAGGAATATTGAACTACATACACAAGCCTTCTTATGTTAGAGCTATCAGTGATAAGTTTTTCAGTGCATTAATGAAGAAACTAAAACTATTCTAAAAAATTTATATCTTCTTTGGTTCTTCAACATGCCTCCGTATCAACAGGAAATTCACTAACCTTACAAATTTTGAAATGTTGGGATACTAAACATATGGTTTTCAAAATAGGTGGCAAATGCTTAAACTTCAATTCAGACAAGGTAGCACTGCTTATCGTCATGTCAAATAGTGGAGAAGCCTTGAACTATGATAAATATCTCTTATTCACTGTAAATTCAGAAGAAATAAAGAATAACTTGTTGGAAGTTCTTTCAAGAGACTATTCAACATCTTCTGTAAAGTCTTACATAAAGTTTTTTGTTGACAAATTTATTATTTCCATCAAGCAATTATAATGTTCCAAGTGGGTTGTACAGTTTTGACGAAAATGTAAATAGCTTCCCTTCCTTCAATTGTCCATGAGCCATTTTTAATTTTTTGGTTGATAAAATTGATGTTTTTGTTTGGAAAATGATATGGAATCGGGCTCTGGGATACATGAATGATTTTGTTTTCTTGTTAACAATTAGTATGTTTGACAGATCAACAATCTTATATTTTTTAAGACATGTGAACCATTGAATTTTATTTTTTACAGCTTTAATTTTATGACCACGTATTCATCCTTGCTGCAACCTTACATGACTTTAAGCCTTGAATGCTTAGGTGGTTGAAAATGAGAACTTGGAGCACATGAATTGTTGTTATTTTTTTCTCTAGACTAACAATCAAACAGGTAACAAAGATGTCAACTTCTTTTCAAAACATTCAGTTGATAATGCATTTGTATACACATGATAAATTAGTTGTTTTGGTTATCGTAGGTCTTTGATTCTTTTACAGATTTAAATACTGGCGAACACATACTTCTTTTTCCATTAACCTGTGATTCATTGAGTTCATTTTCTAGCCCTCTCATCACTGGGAGCAATATCTTGACTCGATACTCACCTTCTGTACATTCTGTTGAACCATCTACTCACACTCCACTTCAACCTCCACTCCAACTCCAATTAATCATGAATAATAAATATACGCCGAACTACTTCTTCAATTACTGAGAATCCAGGACCACAAAATAATCGAGTTGCAAAGTAAAGTAAACCAATTGGGAATGAGAGTATCTATTGTTGAGAGAAAGAAAAAGTAAAAACAAATCTACAAATCTTATATGAGTAGTATTGTCCAAAGAGTAATATTAAGACAAAGCTGGAAGAAACGAAAATCAGAATCCCCTTCAATTCAAGAAGAGAAAAGCTGAGGGCAATTTTGTCAAACTAGGCGAGAAGGTGATAAAAGGACCTAAAACTACAGTAGTGGAAGAGGGAACCGAGGAGACATCAAAGACACTTCAATCTATGTTATTCGAGGAAGAAACCTAGGAGAAATCAAATGAAGTTGAATCTATGGTGGTTGAGAAGGGGAACAATGTTCCTGTTCTTGTGTAGAAGGAGGAGGAGAAGAAGATCATTGATAGAATTTTTGTTGATGATTACCTAGATAAGATATATTAATTTTAAGTGTATCATAACATTGCACTATATTATAAAGAACATTTGTTATTTGAATATGAATCATCAACATGCACAACTTGTTATGAACTTTCTTGCAAGGGATGAGATATCCATACATGTGGCAGAGGTCATTGATCAATGCTGTCAAATGTTCAGGGATAAGTCAGTATTTTTTCCCAAATTTTAATTAGTTCCAAATAAAAATATATTTATCTTTCAATTCTTTTATATGTTGATACTACATGAGTGATACAATATTTTTCAAAGAACATTTTGCAATAACTTGATCTTTGATCAATGAACTTTTGGAAAATCAATATTTGGCCAATGAACATGTTGATGCATTTGCGCTCTTGCTGGATAAGCAAAGGAATAAAACTTCTGAGTTATACAAACCATACATGTATATATCACCCATGTATTGGATAAGCATGTACATTGCAGTATAGTCTATGTTATTTATAAATAATTTATACATTTATTTATATGTGAATAAAAATAAACAAACATAATTTGGCAGTTCTGTTTCTGTTGCAAAATTGAGAGCAAGATTTTTTGGTGAGACACATATATAAACAAAATGTTTAAAAGCAAATATTTTATTGATTCCCACAATCCATGGTCAACATTGGATTATGCTGGTTGGGGAATTAAAGTCGAGAAAATGGTTGTTATATGACACACTTCCGAAAAATCACACAAGGGTATATGTCATGAAATTGTGAGGAAATACATTAACACATTATTCGATGAGTTCATCATTTATTTTTGTTTTTCAATTTAAACTACTTGGCACAACTTTACTTGTTTTGAAGGTCAAACATTGATGAAGAACTGACTTTGCATTTGATACAAATCCCAGAGTGGCTAGTTACTACTCGAAGAAGAACACCAACACAAACAAACATTATTGATTGTGGGATGTTTATTTATAAATAAATAGAAAAATTGGTGGGCATAGAGCCAATAAATTTGGATGATTACGGGTCATGACTACTAAGCATGTCACGATTTAGTGCATAATTTGATTACTTACTTTGCGTGTGGTTATTACCTAATCATGAATAATCATCAGCACTCTATAAACTTTAGGTATACATTGTCATGTTTGATATTTTTATGTGAGCTTGGATGCATGAAGAGTTAGCTTTTTAATTGTAGGAGTGGTTGGAACAATTTTAAGCATAAGATGTGGATGGATGGGTCAAATCATTGGCATATAGGGTGAATAGATTTTCCGATTCTGATATACAATTCTGTGACTTGTTTATAACTTTTGATATTCATATATTCACATTTTGATATATAATTAAGTCATTTGCTTATATATAAATTATCAAATAACTTGTTTTATAAATGGTTTGTTTCGTATAAATATTGTGTTAACAAGCTTAGATAAATTACCTATAATATCACCAGAATAATACCAAAATATCTCCATAATATCACTATTATATTTGCATAATATCACAAAAATATCACCAGAATAGATTCAGAATACCGCTAGAGTACTATTATAATATCACAAAAATATCATCAAAATACCTAAACAAAATCATCATAATACCAATAAAAATACAATCAAATCACAAAAATATCACCAGAATAGATTCAGAATACCGCTAGAGTACTATCATAATATCACAAAAATATCATCAAAATACTACCACAATATCATCATAATACCACTAAAAATACAATCAGAATATTATCACCAAAAACCACTCTTTTATATATAGGTTAGGATGCTTAAGGTGTAAAAGTTAAAGTTTAAGTGTGAGATAAGTAAATACAGAAAATTTGGGTGCCATGTATATGAATTTTCTTTAAATTTTATGCCCTAATTGGTTAAAAACTTTCACTCTGCCAACTCTGTCAAAAAAAAAAATAATAATAATAAAATAATAATAATCCTGAATCTCAACCACACCCCTGCAATCTCGGCCGTGTCTGTCTCCAAAGGCTTCACTTCTGCTTCCTTTTTCTTCCCAATCCTCTTTTGCCCAATTCAGTCCAACACCTATCTATCAGTCATGGTGTCCCCCTCATCTTCCCTCCAACTTTTCTGAATCACTCTTCAGTCACTTGCACGGTTCCATCTCTCAAAACGAAGAACGGTAAATCAATATGCTAAAGATTACTTTTTTTTAATCAACAGTAGTCTGAAAGCAGTCATCCTCTCTCTCTCTCGCTTTCCCTTCTCCCAACCTCGCCTCCCCCAATCTAATCCTATTAACTGGTAAAAATTCCAGTCGAAACTCATCAAAGCTTCCTCCTTTCTCCATCCAAATCCCAAAAACTGCAGCTTTTCTTCTTTTTCACCATCATGGATCCCAAGAGTTCTTCCAATATTCCACCGGAGCAACCAAAGTTTCTCCTAAACCCAGATAAAAGGGATCCCTCAAGAGATAGCAGAGACCTCCAACCCCTCGTTCCCTCCACTTCTTCCTTAGCTGAGAGAGAGCCTACCAGTGCGGTGGATAAAGACGAGCAAAGGAAGCAGCTTGCTCCCAAGCGAAGCTCCAACAAGGATCGGCACACTAAAGTCGAAGGCCGCGGGCGTTCCGCCCGCCGCCCCCCTTCGGCTCTAGCCGCAGCACCTTCTTCCATTTCTCATAACAAATTCAACGAGCCCCCTTCTTCCGCCATGGCAGCCTCTTCAAGGCCTAATTGGGTTACTGGCCTCTGGCCGCCGCCGCTTGGCAGTTTCGCGGGCACCGGATTCCTACCCCAGACGAGCAATCTGGGCGGCGAAGGGTCTGCTGGAGGGTTTATGCAGAGGATTGGGTTACCAGGGCTGGAGCTGCCAGGTTCCGGGCTAGGTCAGATGAGCTTTGCTTCAATGTTGGGTGGCCATGGGCAGCAGATGCCTGGGCTTGAGCTCGGACTCTCTCAAGATGGACATATTGGAGTATTGAATCCCCAAGTTTTGAGCCAGTTTTATCAGCAGATGGGGCAAGGAAGAGGAGGAGGAGGGGGAGGAGGAGGAGGAGGAGGAGGGAGTGAGCAGTTACAGCATCGTCTTCATCAACATCAACAGACTCATCTGAACCAGGAGAAAGATGATTCTGAAGGTTCGAGTCAGTAGATGAGAGTGATGGTTACAAAAAAGTTCTTTTTTTGAAGAAAATTTGAGGTTAAAATTGGAAACTAATGCTATTCTGAGTGTTATGCTGTAATGATTTTGGAGGAAAGAAAGGCTGGATGATGATTATTTCTCCTTTGTTAGCGGTTTCACATTCGGGTAAATCTCTTTCTTTTGATAGTTTGAAAGAAATGCTGCTTTTTTGCTTTGTGAGAGTGGTGAGTGATTTTTGTTTTGCTGAATTTGGCCTGCAGGTGTAGATTGAACTATGCTGAAGGATTGGGTTGGAGGTATATATATATTTATATTTGTTTACTCTGAGGTTTGTAGATATAGAGTTTGAGCCATCTTCTATTACTATTATTTTGGTTTTTTGATCTGGTTGGATTTGGAATTTTCTTGTTTTTTGTTAAGAATAAATCAGTGTTTTGTGTTAATTTAATGTGATTTTTTGAATGATGAGGCTGTTTATGTTTACAATTTGTGCCTTTTTGAATTGAAGTTGCAAAAGAAATTATGTTTTTTCCCTGAATTCTTCCACGTTTGTAGCTTGATAAATACTGATAGAATGTTTGCAGCTTTATTTTTAACTGTATTAAGTTTATGTTGCAGTTGCAAACCTATATTTCTATTATTTATAACATTTATTTGCTTACCTTTCTTTGTATTAAATATTATGGACAAAAAGATTTTCTTTTTTGGGTACAAATATCATTATTGGCATCGTTGTCACCAAACCATGTGGTTGGAGGTTCTCCTGGAATCAAAATTAGAAGATAAATTAAAAGATTACCAATTTTTTGGATGTTTTGTTGATCAATTTGCGTTCGCAGCTTTGCTATGCTTGTTGTATTACACATTTAACAATTATAGAAGATGATTGTTAAATTAAATATTGCCTTGTTCATATTCGCATAGAATGTATAGCACAAAATAATACCCAAAATCAAAATATTTTACAGGAAAATAATCTCTAGGAAATGAGAATGAGTTTTCATTAGGGATCAAGCTTCAAAAACCAGTAATCTTCCAATTGGATGCTAATCATTCAACGAACAACCAATTTTTACTGTTTCTTTCTTTTGTAACCTTGGATTTGTTCATATTTTAAAGCTTCATGATCCAACAATCTACTAATGAAGTTATACTTTTATTTATATTCTTTTGTTCTTGCATCAAAATAGGATTTTTTAAGTAATAATTACATACAGACCTCCCAAAACATTGATATTTACAAATTAAGCAACCAAGTGATTTTTTTGAACTATCAAACCGATGAATTTGCGTGCACCACGATCCAATTATTGAGAATTTGATGAAAATGGAAATTTTGGTTCGGGGTTTTACCATGGATTTTCATATCTGAGTGTGACAAATGAATGAAAGAGAGTGGTTGATTTGTAAGTAGCATGTTTGGGATGGTTTGTATGTAATTGCCTCCTTTTCTTTAATGTACTCTTACAATTACAGACGAGAACATTATTTTTTTATGCCTTAAGCCATATTATCTTTTTGTTGGCAGAAAACCATCTTCAAGTTTGATAGTTGAAATCTATTATTTTTGAAACAATTCCATCCATCATATAGATTAATTGTTTGGTATTCCTTCTACCAATGCCAAACCTATTGCCCAAATAAATGTGTACAAAACCTTCTGAGTTTTATGTTTTCTCTTGAAAGAAAGTCATATATAAGTGCTCCCTCTCAAGTATCAAAAGATCTAGTTGAAAACCTCTTGTTGCTTCTCTATATTAGCTATATGTCTACTCATAACCTCCACATTTTTATTAAAATTATATTTCTCACTAATTCCCAACATATCGTTTGCTCGAATATTTAACATGTTGGCTTGAATCAAATTGAAGAATTCTTCGGTGTCAGGTTTGAGCTCTCCCTCAGCCCTAAAAAAGTTTTAAAAAACCTTACTATATGTGCTATCTTAGGCCTACAAATCATGACATATATAAGTTTATTGGCTTTTGGTCTAGGTGTGTTGTAGGAATACATCACACTCTTTTGCTGTATTGGGTGATTGATCCTTTGAAAAGTTTGAAAAGACTTGGCATAGTAATAGATTTTGTATCTCGCTTCCTAAGCCATTTTAATGCATTTTTAAATTAACTAGCTAGGATGAGTTTTAGTATGAGAACTACTAATCATGCAAATTTTTTATTCCAATAGCCCTTTGACTGCTATAAAATCTTTAAGTGAGTTTTCCTTTCATAATTCTTGTTTCAATATCTTGTTTTATTGCATGTTTGCTAATGCAAAAGGTCATGCCACATACTTACAACGCTTGGATAATCTAGAAATCATCAAATCTTATAGAAATAGCAACAACTAGTCTATATTAGATCCTTTGAAACCATTACTTCAATTGAAAGATGCTTGATTACCACCGATTGCCTTTCAATAATACTTATAGACCCACACATTCAATGAATGATGGATGATATTTAAGTATCTATTTCCGTGATTAGCCTCGTAAAAAGAATAAATAGAAAAAAAAAACGTGATTAGCCTCGTAAAAAGAATAAATAGAAAAAATTTTTCCTCGTAAAAAGAATAAATAGAAAAAAAAAATTTTCGATAATCATTAAGTTTCCTTTTAGAGCATGCTCCTATAGCTAGTTCTACTTTGGACATTAAGATCTAAGAAATATCTTCATCAAAGTCAAATAGTTATGAAGAAGAGGGAGAAACTTCAAGGACTTGCAACCTAAAATTGTTAAGGATGCCTTGGGCTTACACTAGATTGAATGGAATTTAATATTTTAATATGAGAACTTTTATGTTTCATTTGCTTTATTTTAAAGGAAGATTTACATTCATACCCCTCAGTTCCTATGCATTTAAACATCTAACCCTTATACTCATTTGCTTTATTTTAAAGGAAGATTTACATTCATGCCCCTCAGTTCCTATGTATTTAAATATCTAACACTTATACTTCAATTTTTACATACATACCGCCTTACTTATGCAAGAACAGGTGTATTTCATCAGATCAATGGTCTATGAGATGGTTTTCCTAAAAACTAATATAACCCAAATTAGATCAATTGGGGATGAATTTAGCTCTATTTGGCTACGAATATTGTCCTCTAGCCAATATATATATAATTTAGCTTATATTAAATGAGTTTGGGAGATAAATTAGCTGAGGTTTATTTAATGATTCAGTCTATGTCCAGAAGTTCTCTTTCTGAGAAGAATTTATGTAATATCACTCTTTAATGAGATTTGAATGGGAATAAGAAGTGATGTGTATAATATTTATGCAAACCACACAATTTTTATGTATTTTTGTATCTGTCACCTAATCTTTAATATTTTGCAAAATATTTTATCTTTGGTGTAGGAGAAATTGGGTTGGGCACATGAATGAACACTTCACCATGTATAATTCTTCTATTATAGAAGGGGATACATTCTTATATATTTGCATATCTAACACCAAGATTTTGATATTTACATGCAAACCCCTCAAATCTCCAACATCACATCAAAAATATTACTATTACTAACTTTTTAAAGTGAAAAATACATTTTCATGCATAGATTTGTATCATATTTGAGGTGTTAGATATGTGAAACATAAGAATTATGAGGTGTATGAAAATTTTCCAAATACATGTAAGCTATCTTATTATCACCAACATAAAGCACCTGTTAGGCCTTATGCACATGGTATAGGTTACTTAATTTAAAAGCTTTTATGCTAAAATTATTGAGTTATTCCATCATTTATTAATTCAAAAAAAAAGGAAGATTGCATCCTTTTAATTTGAAGTAAGTCCATAATTTCTTCTATATAAATTCATATGTAAATTTATTTATGGAAAAATCAAAAGATTTTGAAAGTAATATTATATTCCTAGCCTCAAATATAGCAAGTTAAAATTAAATTTCATTACATCAAGCCTAAGTATTTGTAGTGGCTTCTCGTAGCCCAAGTAATTTACTTGGAAGCTTAAATTAAATTAAAATTATATATATATA